CTTCTCATATTTATGAGAAATTGACATGCGAATGAGATTGACATAATTCAATGGCAGTATGTTTGACGTGAACGATTGGCTCAAGCAATTGGCTCTCCGAGGAGTCTTGTCCCCGCTGCACCTCCTCATTGGTTAAGCGCATTCGAATCGCTCTTCCTATTGGCTCTGCGGACTCATTTAAATGCGCCCTGCTTGAACGCTGACGCTCACATCTACACCAACGCAGGGCTCCGAGCGATCCAGTTTGGTGATGCGGCTTCTGATCCTTGTGCTGATTTCTCATTTTGGCACATCCCTGTCGGGACGGCTTCCTCCAGGACTTTGGTCATCCCGGTCGTCCGCCTTCTTTGAGCCGGATGACGAGCTGCGCCCCATCGAAACTCTGTTAAAGCGTGCTGATGGTCTAGCTGACGATGGTCTAGCTGACATGGAACCAGATGCTATAACGGCGGGGCGGCTGAAAGATGTCTTGCGGGAAATTGCCCGACGAGGTAACGGCGCTGCCTACTTCTCCACGTGGAGGCCGCACTCTCGGTTTGGAAGACGTTAAGCTGAATTTAACACTTTGTTTTTTTGCTGTGGCCATGATACAATATAAAAGTTTTTATATATGCGTGTGATGTTTTGTTGTCCTCACTTACTTTGGCTATAACTTTGCTATCATGAAGCACGTTAGAAACGCATGTCACAATAAAAAAGGCTATTTCATTGCTTTGAAATATTCCCATTCATTAGCGCTGCATTTCGCTCTTTAATAAAACTAAACTTAACAATACCGAAAAATTGAATTATTCGTTTCCAGAATAAAGTTGTGCACGGTAGAGACAGCGAACGTCACAGGCTTCAATGTTTTTATGCAATTTCGTGACCTTTTATTTAATCGCATATGGTAACCACCTATTAATAAGATAAACTTAACTGTCCAATTGCGAGAAAACCTGATATATTATTAGATGACAGAACTGCTGAAAGTGATAGCCGTAAATTAGGTACCTTATCTAAAACATAAAATAATAATAGCAGTATTAGCCGACTTTAAGTGGAAAGCGGATGATGCTGTGAGTTAAATATCCACTTCTTCACACGGAGGCGAAACTCTCGGTTTGGAGGACACTTGATTCAGAGCAGAATTTGAAACTTTTTCTTTCGTGGCCATAAGGCAATATGACGTGTTTTTATCTGTGTGTGATGTTTTGTTGCTCTCACTTACGTTGGATGTGTTTTGGTATTATCATGTGTCATGTACGAAACGCATACAACACCGAAATATACTATTCCATTACTTTTCAATCGCATAGCGCTATACTTCGCTCTCGAATCTTAATTAACATCGAAAAACAGCAGTATATTTTCTCAGCTCAATTAAATACGAAACAAAGGTAGCAGACGCTGTGACTTATGCATCACAAAAATTTAAAACTTTGAATGCTTAAATAAACAACGATACTACTAAGAATTATCCGGCTTTAAGTAGAAGGGTGACTAGAGTGTTGGTCAAATCTCAAATGCTCCTGGGAACTAAATAAGGGTGTGAAACGTGGCATAGTCGATTTAACCGAATTCGACCTATAATTATCATTTGTTTATTTTGCATCCCTGTACTAGGCAGACTGAATTGAATATGACTGTAACCATAATCTGGAATATGAGTATACAAAAAAACGTAAAGCTTGCGGAAACGCCATTGACAATTTCAAAAGATGAGTTGGTGAGTATATGTTTACCTTCGATAAATTATCTTCAGGCTTGTATATTCATAGGATAACTAACTACATAACTTGTGCGGATTCATAGACGAAAGTGGTGCGGTGGTCATGTGAGATGGGGGAGGTGGAGGTTGGGAATGGGGGCCAACATGTCA